ATCCTGGGGGAGGGGTGTGGGACAATTTTGGAGGGATTATTTATTGTTCAGATTAGGTAGTGAAATGATCATTTTGACCATCTACTGTTTAATTATATATTATATGTAGTAAAATTCAATAAAATTTAAATGTCTCAATTTAAAAATAAAATAATTTTTTTATTTAATCTAGCTAAAAATAATTAAAATATTAAAGATATGTTTAATATTGCTATTACTTGGTAAATAATTGAAAAAGGGTAAAATAGTTTTTTGTTCATTTATCCTAACCAGCTCGTCTAACTAAACGTTGGATTCACTAAAAATAGTCATTTCCAGACATCTAATCCCATGAAAAAACAAACACAGGATACATATCCAATTCAACCAAATAGTCCGGGGGATTCACAATCCTAGGACTCAAGTCCGATGGATTTTAATCCCCCCTTATCCAGTCTGTTCAATCAAACACACCATAGTTTCTTGAGATTGCTTAGTGCAATTTACGAAATTATTTATAACTTTTTTATTTTAAAAATGTGTCAAAGTGTTTAGTCAAACTTTTGGTATAGCTTCTGAAATAGAATTAACTTAAATAAGCTAGAATCAACTTGTTTGGTTTTGGTTTTAGTTTTCAGAAAATAATTTTCAAAAAATTTAATTTTTTTATTTTTTATATTTTAATGTTTTCAATAAATTTTTAAATATTTTAAGCAATTTTTTTAAAATTTTAAACACACCTAACATATATACACTTAAAAAGTATAATATTTGTGAAAAAATCTTTAAAAAATACACTAATTACCAAAAATATATATAAAAAAATATGAAAATTCCGTACATTTTTTGTATTTTTGTTTGTGTCAAAGTGTTTAGTCAAACTTTTGGTATAGCTTCTGAAATAGAATTAACTTAAATAAGCTAGAATCAACTTGTTTGGTTTTGGTTTTAGTTTTCAGAAAATAATTTTCAAAAAATTTAATTTTTTTATTTTTTATATTTTAATGTTTTCAATAAATTTTTAAATATTTTAAGTAATTTTTTTAAAATTTTAAACACACCTAACATATATAGACTTAAAAAGTATAATATTTGTGAAAAAAATCTTTAAAAAATACACTAAATACCAAAAATATATATAAAAAAATATGAAAATTCAGTACATTTTTTGTATTTTTGTTTATTTATTGATTTTTAAAAATATTTTTTCACAAATATTTTACTATTTAGATATATCTATGTAAGGTGCATCTAGAAAAAAAAAATTACTTAAAATTTAAAAAATATTTACTAAAATCAAAAAAAAATATGAAAAATAAAAAAACTTAATTTTTAAAAAATTGAATTCAGAAAAATTAAAACCAAATACACATAATAAAATTTTGATTATTAGAAAGCAGGTGGAAATACATTTTTAACTTTTAACTTGTTAAAAATTATACAAAACAGACCCTTAGCTATATAGGTCAGGGTCGTCAATTTTTATTGCTTGAGCCCCATTACAAGTGCCCCTAGGACGGGAGCACATTCCATTGGCACAAATGAAGAGAGTTGTAATTTTGGAGTTTTAAAGAGAGTTTTAATAATGTAGTAAGAGAAAAAAAAATATAGATACACACATCACATTACATTTGGATCTCACTTCTTGTCACATTACTAGAGCTCTTTTTAGAGTCTCAATCTTTATTGATGGCACAAATGGATTTCCAAGGTGGCTCTCACTTTGAATAATATTATGGTACATAAATATATTTTCCTAGATATATAATATTATTTTGACTTGAAATATAAATACAGTAACCATCAAATGTGAAATGATATGGTATCATTAAAACCATACATATGACCAACAATTAACTAAAACCTTATTATTTTCTTCCATAGAAAAATTATCCCGCAAAATCATTGATGGTGGAATTGGAATTTGAATTTTGATCATTCTTATTATGAAAAATTACAGCAAAATATATCAGAAACCAAGTGCATAATTTAAAGGTCCAAAGTATAAAATGAAAATAAAATAATAATTTTATTTTAAATTACACATTCCAATCTTAAAATGATTCTTTTTATTTCAACTTTAAACGTGAATCGTTAAATTATCATAACAAAATTATTGTAAAGCAAAGTATAATAGAAAATCTTGATATAATCAATTCAAGCAAAAGGGAAATTGAAAAAATCTCTAAAAAATATAAATATAAATAGTATTATTCAAATTCAAAAACTACACGAGGGTTTGAAACTCAATAATGTAACGATCTATTAAAATATTTAAAGTAATTATTTCTCATAAATCATCAACCAATATCATTTTTTTAAACATCACTAAATTTAGAATGTGTTTTTTTATATCAATTTCATATATATGAGAGAGAGAGAGAAAAAAAAAAAAGAAAGTAAACAGCGGGTTAGGGGGAACATTAAAAGCAGCTATGGTCCTGTTTTAGCCCACTTGCATGTCCAACTTGCATAAAATAAGACCAGTATTCAAAACACCCCAAGTGTGCAACTTGCATATATGTATATTCTTTTTAAACAACTAGAGAGAGAGAGAGAGAGAGAGAGAGAGAGAGAGAGAGAGAGAGAGAGGCAATCAAGAAAAAGACAAGAAAGTTGCAAGTTGCAAGTTGCAATTAGTACTCTTTTTTTTTCTTTTTCTTTTTTGAACATATAAAACAGCTAGAAACGTCAACTTGGGGAGGCAGCTGTTGTTGATTCCCACCACGTTATTCGTATTTTTAATACTGCAACATGCCTTCTAACCTCCTCTCCCCTTCTATTCCTCTTTTGAAAATTTAATCTGTACGGTATGTGATTCTTAAATTTTTCACATAATTTAATAATTAAAAATATTAAATTTTTACAAATTGTTAATACAGAAAAAAAATTCAAAATTACAAAATAGTAACATTCAAACTGCTTAAAAAAATGATAAGTATTGTCTGCTTCTAACATTATGGTTCAAGTTTAATTTATGAAAACCGTGTAAGAGAAAATCTGAACATAATGAGAGAAGTGAATGAGCACGAACCTTGTAATTACTTGTGGCTGAGGTGATCAATCAGGGCATTCTGATACTTAAGTAAGTAGATGCAAATCGAATTTTCAATAAGAAGCGTTAATGATTATTTACCTGAGTTCTGGAATCTACATTTTCTTTTATATCTTATTATTTTACTATTGAGAGTTTTGTGTTGCCCATGTTACTCTCTTGTAACCAAAATTGTGTCATCTGTTTGGCGGCTTCGCAGGAAGTGAATCGAGTATTAACTTTCCCTAAACAAAATATATCCTTCTCAACAACCTAGAAAATAAACAAAACAAAAAGAAATGTCTGTGGTCCATTAAAAAAGAAAGAAAAAAAAGAGACAAGAAAAGAATCAAGAACAATTTTAAAGCTCATGAGATGTGTGTAAAGCATTTGATCGCAACTCTAAACAGTTGCTTGCCGTGATCATTATAATTATGTTATGTTTATCCATAAACCTCGGACTAAACTAACCGTTAATTTGAGGTTAATCGAATTTGATGAATTCTATGTCGTTTTTCAACAATATAATAACAACAAAAATTTATTATTTTAATCAACATACCCATGTTAACAAATCATAAAATAGTCATTTTGTATGCTAATATTGTAATCAATTAATCCACTAAGTAATCAAATAGAACAACAATTAACCTTGGCAATCGCGATGTGGCTTGCTATAGAGGGTGCAGAGATTCCATGTTGTTTATCAGTTTATGAGTCCCTAATCAATCAACTTTGACAAGTTTATTTATTCTATAATATGTGGTTCATTGAGATACTTAGTACTCAAAACAATAATTAAGTTACAAGAAATCGCAGTTATTAGTAAGACATTTACCGTGAAAACTGGAAAAGTTGTGATCATTAATTAATGAATAATTATAATTGAGTCTGGGCAGAACCAGCCCTCCCTCTCTAAACGACATTAATATGCAAACTTACTATTCTCAAGAAACAACCTGATCATGTTCATGGAAAAGTACACTATTACCGAAAAATTCGCATACTGAAATTACTGACGTAAATTTTTTTTTTTTGCATAAATTATTTTGGTGCACAAATTGCTTAATGATGGAATAGCCTAAACCCAATATGAGAAAATGTAATTTAGTTTATAAAATTTTATATAAATAACTTTAATTCTAATTAAATCATTGGTTCCACACAATTAAATTTTATTTTTAAATCGAAAAGTACTATGAATCACAAATAATTTATCAAATATTTTACTAAATCTCTCACATGAGTATGGACCCCTACATGTATGTGAGTCTCACACCCATATAAGAGATTTGCTAAAATATTTAATAAATTATTTGAGATCCTAGCATTACTTTCTTAAATAATCCGTATCATAAGTGAATTGAGAATTCATAAAAAAATACTACTCATACTTTAATATCACGATAAAGAGCACTTTGATATGAGTGAGTTTGCATAGTAAATAAAGCCTTTTTTCTAACACCTTAATTAAATCCTAGTGTCTTAGAGCATCTCCAATGCATTAGGCATATCATACTTGTTAGTTAAAATGCCTAGTGTGATTCACTTTTTTTCAATTCCAACGCACTAGGCATATGATTAGGCATTTTGGCTCAACTCATATTCACTAGCTACATATAGCTAGCCTTCAACGTTAGGCAAAATGTATTCAATCATTACGATTATTTCCCTCCATCTTTGTTGTTGACGTGGCATTCTATAAAATTAATAGTATTTGGATTAATAGCTAAAATAAAGAGCATGGTTGGAGTAAAAACATAAAACTGTTAATAGGCAAAATAAAATATATACTTTATAGTAATATTTAGATAGGTAAAATGCCTACTACCGTTGGAGATGCTCTTATTATTGTGACATACAATTCTTCTCTTATTTCACTCATGTCATTTATTTATAAATAAATAAATAAATAAAATTGTAATCCAATCCATGATTGTACGTGAAAAACCAAGTAAAAAGATCAAACTAATCGACACACAAAAAATAAAATAAAAAAACACAGATCGAATTCAAATCCAGGAAATTATTTATTTGACAAATATAGAGACGAAAAAATGAAAAATAAAAACAAAAACATTAACGGGCTGTGCTGTGATGATAAGGATCGTGACAAACAATCATGTTTTCGATTCGAAAAATGGCCACAAATCCGACATTAATCCGATTGATTAATCTCAATTCAGCATCATCGTCCGATCGAATTCTCGTCGATCTGAGCAAGCGATTGGAGATTACATCGAACGATCGTATCAACAAACACGCAGGTCTCTTCCTTAGTATTACCAGGCGGTGTGTCAACGACGTATGACTCCACGACAACTGTCCCCTGACCGTCGGTGGATTGGTGGAGGGTCGTGACCGACCTGTAATTCGCGAGTCGGTGGTCCCCACCGACGACGCTGAAGCTGATGACATGGCGCTCGTCGTCGAGGATCTCGAGGCGCTCGGTGCTGTTGGCGGCGGGGAGGCCGGAGACGACGTTCACTTCCCGGAGAGTTCCGACCCTGCCGTCGCCGTTGATGACGTGGCAGCTCTTGACGAAGTGTTTGTAGGCTTGGGGGTTGTCGAAGCGGCGGAGGACGGACCAGACGGTGGAGATTGGGGCGGAGATTTGTTGGATCACAGCGGAGCAGCACTGGTTGGGTCCTACGGAGTGGGTGTGGAAGCGGGTTACGGAGTCTGGAGCGGCGGCTGCGGCGGCGGAGGTTAGAGGGCACTGCCGTGGTGGGAGGATGGTGGGTTGGGATTGTTTGTGGCAAGTGGTGGTGGTGGTGGTGGTGGTAGCAGGGGTTGGTGTGGTGGTGTTTATTCTGTGAAGGAGGAGAGAGGACTTTGGCGGATTCGAAAGCATTTTTGATGAGTTTTGATTCTACTTTTAGAGAGAGAGATATTAAGATGGAGGTGGTGTTTATGGAGTTTGGTCACTTTAGAGATGTATTTATACATGGAAGAGAGAGAAGGTTGGGTTAGTTCCTTTCAAACTTTACGAGTTATTTGAGTTGCAGTATTGGAGACAATTTAACTACCGCCAAGGATTTTTAGATTGTTTTTTTTTTTTAAATTTTTTTAAAGTGGTGTGTTGTGTGATTGAGATTTAATATTAAAAATTGATGTGACTTATCATTAAGTCTCAATCATATAATGCATCACTCTAGGAAACTTTAAAAAGAAAAAACTCTAGAGAATCCTTATTCTTTAACTACTAATCGGTTTTAATAATTAGATTTAATTTTTATTAAGTTTTGTTAAAAATAAGTTTTAATAAAATTATTGTTAAGAATATGTTTTTATGATGATTTTTTTAGATGTCATTAAAAATTGATAATTATTGATTTTTTTTGTTATGATTTTTTATAAATTATCATTAAAACTTAGAATTAAAGACTTTTCTTATGACGAATTTTCAAACAGTCACTAAAAGTTAAAATAGTGACTTTTTTATGACAATTTTTGTAAACTGTTACTGAAAATTAACAATTAGTGATAATTTTTAATAATATTTAATGAAAAATATCATTAATTATCATAAGACCTATTACATAATAAATAGATTATGTTAAGACTTAAATGTAAGCTCTCTTACAAAATTTATAAGTCACATCTATGTTAAAAGCAGAGCAGTGATTGTTGTGCTTCAATTTGAGATGCGTTATGATATTATTTTTATGATTTGAACCGTTATTTTGTAGGGTTTGTTGAGTATTTCATGCTTATCAAAAATCATATTAATCGGATATCAATGACTATATGATTGATAACCAAAAAAATAAACAATAAGTTTTTCTTTTGAGAAATAGTATAAAAAATATACAATTCGATCATATAATTTTTGATATCCGATTAATATCATATTTGGTAGGCATGAAGTATTCAACAAACCCTACAACATGACGGTGCAGATCATAAAAATAAGCCATAATGTATCTCAAATTAAGACACAACAGTCACTGCTATACTAAAGATACAACAATGACCCCATTTCTATATAAAAATCTTGTATATACTAAAGATACAGCAATGACCCCATTTCCATATAAAAATCTTGTACCTGATTTTAATATTAAACCCTACTTAATAGGGGTGGGCAACGGTTTATCCGAACCGCTCAAACCGCCCAATCCGCCCAACCCGCATATAAGTGGGCGGTTTCGCAAACATAATGCGGGCGGATGCGGTTTGAAATATGACAAATTTGCGGGTTGCGGGCGGGTCGCGGTTTAAACCCGCAAACCGCAAAATTTTTTATAAATTATCATTAAAACTTAGAATTAAAGACTTTTCTTATGACGAATTTTCAAACAGTCACTAAAAGTTAAAATAGTGACTTTTTTATGACAATTTTTGTAAACTGTTACTGAAAATTAACAATTAGTGATAATTTTTAATAATATTTAATGAAAAATATCATTAATTATCATAGGACCTATTACATAATAAATAGATTATGTTAAGACTTAACTGTAAGCTCTCTTACAAAATTTATAAGTCACATCTATGTTAAAAGCGGAGCAGTGATTGTTGTGCTTCAATTTGAGATGCATTATGATCTTATTTTTATGATTTGAACCGTTATTTTGTAGGGTTTGTTGAGTATTTCATGCTTATCAAAAATCATATTAATCGGATATCAATGACTATATGATTGATAACCAAAAAAATAAACAATAAGTTTTTCTTTTGAGAAATAGTATAAAAAATATGCAATTCGATCATATAATTTTTGATATCCGATTAATATCATATTTGGTAGGCATGAAGTATTCAACAAACCCTACAACATGACGGTACAGATCATAAAAATAAGCCCATAATGTATCTCAAATTAAGACACAACCGTCACTGCTATACTAAAGATACAACAATGACCCCATTTCTATATAAAAATCTTGTATATACTAAAGATATAGCAATGACCCATTTCCATATAAAAATCTTGTACCTGATTCTAATATTAAACCCTACTTAATTAAAATTCTTCGTTTTCAAAAGTGGAGTGTGAATATTTTGTTTATGGGTTTATTGGTGATAAATTATTTTTTATGGAGATAGGATATTAGTTTCAAAGATTTACTTCTTTTTATTTTTTATTTTTTTTTGAATATAAGGACATAATTAATGAAATTATATGATAGGAACAATAGATTATTGTTTTGAATTTTTTTATATTTTTTTATCCCGCTATCGATAGATGGGCGTTAGATTGCACCCAAATCACCACCGGCATGGAAAAATTTGCCAACGGCAACTAATGGTGGTGATGATATAAACAAATAAATAAATTAGGTGAAGAGATAAATGAATAACACATGAACAAATAAGTAGATACATAAATGACAAGTGGATAGATAAGTGAATAGATAAACAAATTTGAAAAATCTAGAAATCCCCTACATGTTGATTTGTGATTATGTATCAATTTTAAGCAGAATATAACAATCTCAATCAAACAATTAAGACAAAAAGACACAACGATTTTAACGTGGAAAAAATCACAATTGGACACCTCCAACTGTGATAAAAAAAACCACGGGCAACAGCCACAACTTATGCTCGGGTCTTTCTTTTTTTTTTCTTAAAAAAAATCACTTGATGATGTTAAAGGAAGAAGTCAATAGAAGTTCATGTGGGAGTTATAAAACAACAATAATACTTTATTCGAATTTATTCAGAAACATCCATCTGTGTTTTAAATTTATTTAATATTTAGGTCTCGTTTCGGAACCTTCCTTCTAGTTAAAAAGTCAAAAAATTACTAAATTAGTCAAAAAGTCAATAACTCATACCAAAAAGTCAAAGATTCTCTTTTCTCTTTACTTTTTGCACATCTTTTCATAAAAAACTAAAAAATTATCCCAAACATACTAATTTTTTTTAACTATTTTTTAACCAAATAATCAAAAAGTTAGCCCAAACGATGCATTAGACTCACATTATACCAATTCAGTTTCCGCCGCACAAACACTTTACCCAAGAAAATCTGGGCTCTTATGTATAGGGGAGTAGCCTTTTTGATAAAAAAGAGCTTATTGTTAAGTTACCAGCATATCCTTGTGTTCTAATATTGAAACTAGAAGGCAGACCCAATTTAGATTATGTTGGAGAATTTTCAAAATGAATTTTTAAATTTATAATTTATTTTTGAGTGTTTTCAAAACCTTTCATTTTTTTTTTTTTTCAAAAAGCATGAAATAAGCCACATCGGAAAGAATAGAAAACATGAAGTACTTAATAAAGTGCTACATAGAATATTCCTTTGAATATAGAATTGTGAGGTGAAAGTTAGTGTGCATACATCCACAACGCAAGGATGGTGCTTTGCACCATCCGCACATGCATACGCGCGCACGATGTGGGTTGTAGGCTATGTGGCGTTTGATGGTGCACTTTGTACTTAGCACGGACTTATGGAACGGATTGATCATAGATGTTGATGCTTTCTTATTTGCATCGGACAGATTAGAGCGATGATGTGGATCCAACGTGGCATGGGTTGTAACGCCCTCAAAATAATAACATTAAACCCATTAAATAAGACATGCAATGATATTCAAACGTTCCACATTCTTTCATTTATCAAAGTTTCATTACAAAAAGTATTACATGTTAACAACAAAAGCAAATGCCCTATGGGCTTACAGCTTTCCAAGTTAACACTTGGTTACAACAAAAGAGTACTAACTCAAACACGTTAAGCCCTTGGCTTGAATTTACATGTAATACATCAAAAGTAAAACAACAAAAAGTCCGCCTCTAGCCTCCCAAGCTACGTCCTTGGAGGTGGCATGCTACCTGTACCTGAAAATGATATTCCCATATAGGGTGAGCCACTCCGCTCGAGCTCAACACAGCCCGCTCGAGCGGACTGACCAAAAACTGCGTGCGAACAAACTGAGATGCGCTCGAGCGTAGGAGAATCCGCTCGAGCGTAAAATCACACCCACCAGTATTTTTTGCTTGCCCTGACAAAATACTGAGACCTGCTAATCTACGCTCGAGCTCACAAGGCTCCGCTCGAGCGGACAGAACAAAAACACAAAAAATTACAATTGAATCAACACAATGTTTTGTCTCCGGATTTGACAACATAGGTAGTACCTTCTCTGAAAAGCACAATTCGGGTTGGATTCGCATCTAAACACTCATAGCCTCACTGAAATAAAAGTGCGAAAAAAAATACAACTGAAAGGAGTTTTGTCAAACGGGGTTGCCAAGAATAAAACCTAACAAAATTGTCGGAGGTAATTCATCTTCCAAAGTATTTTATCTTTTTAACTTCAGGAAAAAAAAAAGAATTTAAGACTATTACTCCAAAAAAAAAAAAGAAATTAAACTTATGCTCGGGTCTTTCTTTTTTTTTTCTTAAAAAAAATCACTTGATGATGTTAAAGGAAGAAGTCAATAGAAGTTCATGTGGGAGTTATAAAACAACAATAATACTTTATTCGAATTTATTCAGAAACATCCATCTGTGTTTTAAATTTATTTAATATTTAGACTCACATTATACCAATTCAGTTTCGGCCACACAAACACTTTACCCAAGAAAATCTGGGCTCTTATGTATAGGGGAGTAGCCTTTTTGATAAAAAAGAGCTTATTGTTAAGTTACCAGCATATCCTTGTGTTCTAATATTGAAACTAGAAGGCAGACCCAATTTAGATTATGTTGGAGAATTTTCAAAATGAATTTTTAAATTTATAATTTATTTTTGAGTGTTTTTAAAACCTTTCATTTTTTTTTTTTTTTTTTGAAAAACATGAAATAAGCCACATCGGAAAGAGTAGAAAACATGAAGTACTTAATAAAATGCTACATAGAATATTCCTTTGAATATGGAATTGTGAGGTGAAAGTTAGTGTGCATACATTCACAACGCAAGGATGGTGCTTTGCACCATCCGCACATGCATACGCGCGCACGATGTGGGTTGTAGGCTATGTGGCGTTTG